AAAGAGAGTAAGAAATGGCCAGATAGAAGGAAAGCCAGGAGAGTCTCTGAGTCAAGGGGAAAGGAGAGAGGAAACAGGTTAATAGGCAAGTGTTAATAGCTACAAGAGGACTGTGAAAGGACCACCAGACATGGCGATTACTAGGTCCAAAGACATGGAAAGTGTTTCTTTTTGGGGGGGGAGGGGAGAGAGTTGGAGGAGGCAGCTAGGTGGCTCAGTAGATAGAGTGCTGGGCCTGGAGTCAGCAAGACCCGAGTTCAAATCTAGCCTCAGACACTTACTAGCTGTGTGACCCTGGGCAAGTCACTTAACCTCTATTTGGCTTAATCCACTGGAGAAGGAAATAGCAAACCACTTCAGTATCTGTGCCAAGAAAATCCCATGGACAGTATGGTCCACGGGGTCACAAAAAGTCAGACACAACTGAATGACTGAACAACAAGGTCATTAATGAAAGGAATAGTGGAGACAGAAGTCAGATTACAGGGAGCTGAGGGATAAGTATATGGTAAAGAAATGAAAGAAGTTCTCTTTCTAGAAGTTTAATAGTAAAGAGGTCATCTTCAATAGTCACCATTGTCTACAGGATAAAATCCAAACTCTTTAGCATATTGTTCAAAGCCCTCCTCAATCTAGCCCCAATCTATTTCTTCAACTTAATCTCTGACTGCTTCTATATACAAACCTTCCACTACAGGCAAACTGGTCTCATCATTCCCTAAAAATAGTGTGCCTATTCCTTTGGGCCTTTGTACATGTTATTCTCTGTTTTGTTGGGTTTTCTTAAATCTCAGCTGGTCAATCAGTTCTCCATGCATCCACATCAGTCTCCCTTTTCTGACACTCACAACTGTTTTTCTTCATGTCTTCTGAACTTCATTCTTAAGGGTCTTCAATACTCATCCCTTAACTTTGCCAGAGCTAAATGGGAATAAAACTATTTCATGCTAGTATCTTCAGATCCATTTGTACCTTGTAATCTTCTAGACTACCAACAGGATTGGAAGGAGAAAGACTAGAATAAATACTTTGAAGCCCTCTCCTTCACTGGTTATCTTTCCCTTCAATAATTGGTACCAGTCTGTTTCTTCTTTCCTTTCTGGACTTATTCTCTAGTTCAGAGGAATCTAATTAGTTGATAGTAATAGTTTATAGCAACAGCTAATCTTTATACAGCTGTGTATCTTTATACATATTATCTCATTAGCTATTTTATCTTCAGGTTGTTCTGCTACTCCTATAATGTCCAAGCTAATGGTGAAGAGGGAACAAAGGGCAGCAATTTTTTCTCACCCTATCTGGGATTGGCACTCCTAATTGTGTGTGTATGGTTGTTTTGTTTTGTTTTGTTTTGTTTTTTGTCAAGACATGATTTTATTCGGTTGGAGAATTTCCAATGGGGAGCAAAAATTTCCTCCAAAGCACAGTGATAACTAGAGTAGTTAATAGTCTTAGAATTGCCTGAGCGAACTGAGAGGTTAAGGTGCATGGTCACACAGCCAGTACCTTTCAAAGGCAGGTCTTGAACTAAAGTTTCCTGATCCCCAAGGCTGGCCTTCTATCCACTAAGTCACCATGCCAATAACTCTTTAACAAGTCCTTTTGCTACATGAAAAGTAACTCCACATGAAGAAAAGGGTGGAGGCCTTGCACCAGCATTTTATATACACACAACCTGGATCTCAAGACTACTCCTACAGCCCATCTTTTAGCCCCAAGATTCATGAACTAAAGCTCTAAGAATTCTGTCCCAGGTCAAGGCCCAAATCTAAGTTCGATGCAGTATGTTACTGCTTATTTGGCTCTAGCTAATGGCACTATTAACAATCCCAAATGATTTAACAGCCACGTTATGTAAATAAAGTCGAGTAAAAAGACATTTATTTTTCCAAAATTCAACTTCACTAACTGGTCATTTGTCACTTTTACCTACAATGTTTTTTAAAATGTGTATACTAAGCAAACAGTACAAACAAAATTGCCTGGAAATATTTAAACCACTTGCTTAGCATAGTGCTTAATAAATGTTTGTTGAATTCCAGAAGAATGGCTATCTTAATTCCAAATGCTTCATGTCCACTTATTGGGGCAAGACTGAGGATAACCCTACTAGCAATTTTTCACCAGTCATTACTTTGTGTTGTTATACAGAATTGAAAGCAATGATTTATATTTCTAGGAACTCTACAAAAAAATTAGGGAGCTCTCACTGTAGAAGACTACAGATCTTTCTCTAGTAGAATGTAAGCTCCTTGAGGACACATGGTAGATGCTTTATAAATGCTAGTTGAATTGAAGTGAATATGGATCTGTTGCTTTTTAAAATTTCATCTATAGGGGTAGCTAGGTGACACAGCAGATAGAGCACCAGCCCTGAAGTCAGGAGGACCTGAGTTCCAATCCAACCTCAGACCAAACACTTGACACTTACTAGCTGTGTGACCCTGGGCAAGTCACTTAACCCCCATTGCCTAAAAATTAAAAAAAAAATGTCCAAAAAAAATTTTCATCTATATCTAAGAAATCCAAATTAAGAGAAATATTAACAAATGTTTTTAGTTCACACTATAGATGACTTGTCCTTTGCCCTATTTGGTCCTAATTCATATTATATACACTTCTGGCAAAACCTGGAGGCTCTGTTAAGATGCTAGGAATTCATTTTGGGCTTATTTTTAATTCTTTCAAATCAATCTTAGACTAGGTCAAGATAGAAGTGTACTTATTTTAGGAAGTCTGCATTTATGGAATTATTCTTTTCAAGTAAATTCAGTAGGTGTATATTGTGTGCACATAACCACACCAAGGGAAATCAATCACCTTCTGCTACTGACAAAAAAAATTAAGTGATGTTCATGTAAGAAGTAAAAAAAAAAAAAAGCTTTTTTCTAATTCTTTGGAGAAAGAAAGGCATGGAAAAGATTTAACTACTGATTTTTCATTTAGCAAAATCAATGGCAAATATTTAGTAAGCATCTACTTGGTGGAGTGAGACACAAAGTTAAAATAAAGCCAATTTTTACCTTCTAGGAGTTTAGTGTCCAGATTTAATAAAATGACAATAGTTCAAATCTGTACATTGCCTTAAAGTTTACAAAGTTATAGTAGACAACATTATATGATAAGTACACAGAGAACTGCAAAACAAGTGTTATGTAAAATCTGAAGTGAGGAAGAAGCAATGTATATCAAGGGTCCTTACTGACCAGAAGGATGAAGGTAAGTTTCCTGGAAGAGTTGGCATTTGAGGTAGGCTTTAAAGAATGGAGAGAAATTGAACAGGCTAAAATAGAAAGGGAGTATATTTCAGACAGAAGAAAGAGAATGAGCAAAGGAGGTGATAAGTCATAAAAATGCAGGGCATACAGGTGCAGAGTTTGACTGAAGCAGTACATTGAGAGAAATATTAAGAGAAAAAAACAAATTACAGAAAGCATAGACTGTCAAAGAACAAAATTTTAGTTAATAAATACAAATAGTATTTTTAAAAAGTGTATTAATTGGATATCATGACAAATTAGGGAAGAGAGGGGGCATGGAAAAAAGGGAAAGAAAAGACAAATATACACTCAACCACACAAGGAAGACAAAAAGTGCTATTTCTACAGAAGTACAGAGAAAGAGAATAAATCAGTCAATTCTGACCTAAGTATAGTAATACCTTATTATGCATTTAGGTTGGCTTCAAAGCATTATCACCTTATATTTATTCTTCGAAAATGCTAATCACCTGATTAGCATCAGCACTATGAACAGTGCCATAACTCCTAAATCTTTAAACTTTCAGAGACTATTCATACTCTGTAGTAGTAAAAGCAGATTATACGGACCTCCGCTCCAGGTTATCCCCATCCAACCACCAACAAAGAACTCAAGTTGAAGCCCAGTGTTCCCGTACACTGCTCTACTAGTCTATTATAATTAATTTGTATGTCATAAATATTATTCTATAAAATTAGATGGATGGACTAGGGCAGAGGAGGTTCCTAACTCTCTGTGTGTATGCATGTGTGCAAGTGTGTGTGTGCGCGCGTGTGTGTGTGTGTGTGTGTGGTGACTAACCCTTTAGCAGTTTGATGGACCCCTTCTTAGAATACTGTTTTTAAATGCACAAAATAAAACGTATACTATTAAAAAAGAAACCAATTATACTGAAACATAGTTATCAATTTTTTAAAGTTCACAGACTCCAGGTTAATCACACCTGAACTAAAGTATTAAAAATACCTTTCCACCTATAAAATACAAAACAATGGATCTATTAAAAATGAAATTTTATTATCTAACCAAGTTCTAACAAAATAGATTTCAACAACTGCTGATGAACTTTATCTTTAATATATTTGAAGATAAAAGTAAAAAAAGTTTTACCAAACTCCAGTGAAACAACTAATTACCAGAATATTTTATAATACTATTTTGAAATATTAACTATTTTCCAACTATACAGATTTCTCTAACTAGTTGCAGATGTGCTTTTCTATATATGCTATTCATATGTGAGGACTAGTACCTTCCCACACCAACCTCCAGACCACCTGCCCAATACACTGTACTCTAAAGACTCTAATCCTCACCACCTGCCTTGCCATGGCACCCTAAGGATCATAGGGCTTTTCCATCTGCCTTGCAGCAAACCCTCCTAAATTGTTGTCTTCTACTATTAGAATGAGAACTTCTTAAGAGCAAGGTTTTAGGGGGAGAGGTAGGAAAAAATTGGGAAATAAAAATGTTAAAAAACCAATGTCAAATTATTTTTTACATGTAATTGGAAAAAAAATAAAATATTTGGGGAAAAAAGAGCAAGGTTTTTTCTCATTTTTCTATTTGTATCCTTCAGTATGATGCTTTACATAAAGTGACAAAAAATACCTTTTCAAGTATGCAATCATTTATTCATCATCCAGAATGTCCAAGATTCTTAACATATTTTTAAGCAAAAATTATCAATGCAGATCATTAAAGCGTAGTTAAAAGCTAATAAAATTCATCATTCTTACCTTAGAACCTGATAACATACTGGTCAACATTTTTGTTCCTTTTCCAATTCCAACCACTGCAAGTCAAAGAAAAAATATGATGACATTCTCTTATGGCAATTGGATTTTAAAATCTATACGTTTTGTTATTGTCTTTTGTCAGGCACTATACTAAGCCAAAAACAGCACTATTTCAGCACAATTTTGGCGCAGCTTCTATTATCCCAATCAGTTAAACTTGTTATCCAACAAAAAAAAGGGAAAGAATGGGACTATTTCCGGAAGATGTGTGCAATTTTTTTTTCATCTTTATGTATGTCAAAATGGTAGAGGCTTAAATTTAGAAAGTTATATTTTACAAAAATAAAAATTTTGATAAATATCTTCTAAGACTGACTAGAATTTCTTATGAATATCAATGAAGAATACACAGAGCAATTAACATCCTGGGGTCTGGTTTCACAATGTCTTTTACAGAGTTCATTATTAAACATGCAAAACCATCATCATGGTTAATGGACCATTTAAAAACTGTTAGAGTCCAGAAGTACATCATCAAGAAAAAAGACAACATTCTAAGGAATCAACTTTACACAGAGAAAAAAGAGGCTATATATGCTATGCTAAATTATCAGTCCTCAAACTTTGTCTCAGAACCCCTTTTACATTCTAAAATGTGATTTATATCTATCAACATTTACCTTATTAGAAATTAAAACTGATGTTTAAAATATTTAATTCATTTAAAAATAACAGTAATAAGCCCATTACATGTTAATATAAAAAAAGCCTTACGAAAATAACTATTTTCCAAAACAAAAAAGCTTTTGTGAGGAATAACACTGTTTTACAAATTTTTCCAAATCTCTTAAATGCATGGCTTAATAGGAGGCAGCTGGGGGCAGCTAGGTGGCACAGTGGATAGAGCACTGGCCCTGAAGTCAGGAGGACCTGAGCTCAAATTTGGCCTCAGACTAAACACTTAACACTTACTAGCTGTGTGACCCTGGGCAAGTCACTTAACCCCAATTGCCTAAAAAAAATAAAAATTTTAAAAATTTTTTTAAAAAGGGGGTCAGGTAGGTGGCACAGTGGATAGAGCACCGGCCCTGGATTCAGGAGGACCTGAGTTCAAATCCGGTCTCAGACACATAAAACACTTACTAGCTGTGTGACCCTGAGCAAGTCACTTAACCCCATTGCCTAGCCAAAAGAAAAAAAAAATTAGACAGCTGGATTCTCATATCTGCCTCTATATTCAATCTATTACAATATGTTGGTTTGGTTGAGGTACATATCTGAAGAAAATTTGGCCTCACACAGATATGCAGTTGGAAAAGGGAGGAGTATTTTAGTAGGCAAAAAAAATCTTAGTATTTTTGAATTCTGACCTCTTGGATACTCCTCCCACCCCCTCAAAAGGGTCTCAGGGATCCCAAGGATTCACAGACTATATTTTGAGAACCACTGTGCTAAATAACGAGAATAATAATGATAATAGCTAGCATTTCTATAGCATTTTAAAATCTGCAAAGTCCTTTTCAAATATTATCTCATTTAACCCTTACTATAACCCTATTACAATAACAGTTTTATTACTATCCCCATTTCACAGATGAGGAAACTGAGAATTTCCCAGGTTCACAAAGCTACTAAGCTTCTGAAGCCAAATCTGAACTCATGTCTTCCTGATTCCAGGACCAGCACACTATCCACTGTACCATCTAACTGCCATATATAAATAACCCATATATAAAAGTACACTAGAATTCACTTGGCTCTTCAATCTGAAGCAACACCTCACTTTAGGCCAGTACATTTCACTAGTCAAATTAGGTAGGAATAGGAAAAGAACTCTGGTAGTTTCTACACTTAATAACCCAAGTATTTTTTGTTATTATAGACAAAACTATAATGTGTTGGGAATGGGTATGACTATACCTAAGAATGAAAAAGAATAGAAGGGGATATATACAAGCAGTATACAACAGATTTATAAGAAACATAAGGAGAAACAAGTGCCATGAGAGAAGAGTCTTGCAATTTTTTAACATGTAAGATTCAACAAGATATATACCTATGGGTTTAAAAACAAAGACATTTAGAGCTTGCAATACCAACTTGCTTGACAGAGAAGACAAATAGATGGAAATCACTCTGGCCTCCCCATCTATTTCTGTCAACAATATCTACCACCATTTTTCTAGTCATCTAGATTTGAAACCTTAGAATAACCAATGATTCCTCCATTCTTCCTTCTGTGAAATTTAATTATTGATTATTAATTAATAGGTAAGAATTTTAATCACTAATAGTTATGGATCATTTGGATTTAATTGTGTAGGCCTCAGCAGCAGAGTTTGTAAGAGTTTAGGTTCCCTAATATCATGAGCTACAACCTAGTCCTGTCTCAAGAAGGAAGATAAATGGAAGATCAGTGAACCTGGTCAGGAGATGTTTTGCCTAGCACTGGGTCACTCTGGTGTTAGGTGGCATCTAGCACGAGACTTTCCAGAGGATATTCAACTCTGCTTTTTCCCTGTTGATTCTGGAGACTCCCTATTGCAAGTCAGCGTGAGTTAGTAAATGTAAGCCCACCTTCCACCTTTGCTGTAAACCAATTACAGTCTTAGTTTGCATCACTGGACCTTACATAAAGAACTATATAAAAAACTGCCCCGTCAGATCAGTCTTTGGCTCCTGATTAAGGAAGTGCCAACTCAAAACTACCAAGCAGAGTTACAGTATCTGAATGGTTATTTTGTAGCCACTACTATTACCACAAAAAAAAAAGGTATTAAATAGGAATGTATTTCTTTTAAAATTTAAGTAAATTAAAGTTAATTTTGTTCCTTTGAAAATGAGAATTTTTTTGTGACTTGGGACAACTTCATAATTAAATCAGGATTCAGAATCATCATCATAAATTCTTAGCTCGGGGGCTCCTAGGTGGTAGAGCACTGGCCCTGAAGTCAGGAGGACCTGAGTTCAAATCTGGCCTCAGACCAAACACTTGACACTTACTAGCTGTGTGACCCTGGGCAAATCACTTAACCCCAACTGCCTAAGCAAAAAAATAAATGAATGAATGAATGAATGAATAAATAAATAAATGAATAAATATATTCTTAGCTCAATTTCAATTACATCTTTGCTTTTGGCCCTGTGAGAAAGTCAGCAAAAGCAATCCATAAATGTTTTAAAGTGATATTCCCATTGCCCAATACATATTCAACACCCTCCTTATCAAAAAAGTAATTCAAACATTAGTGTCTTTTTGTTTTGTTGTAATACTCCCTCTTGAACTATAAAATGGCAGACTTCAAAATCAATAGTTATACTGATAGTGAATACTATCACCTTAGCATCATGTCTAATCTTCAATTATAATAACAGGCATTAGGAACATGGTGATATATTTGTATGTTAATCACCATAAAAATCACTGTGATGTCATTTACAAATCAATTTTTATTTTTTTCTTTCCCAAGAATGCTCTTCATACTACACAGTAATAGATATAAAAAGATTAACAGCAGTATGCTGTTACCATTGACATTAGATATAGCCCTTCCCTAAAGACACTTAAATTTTGTTAAAGACAAGACTTAATCAATCAGCAAACATTTATTAAGAACCCACAGAGCTGTGTAAATCAACTAAGGCAAAGTAAATAATTAGATTTAGCACAATAAACCTTAGAACTTCCTACAACTTTTAAAAATTCAATATGTAAGATGTCCTCCCTTTGCTGCAATCACTTGCTTTACAAAATTTGGCACTGAATTCACAATGTCTTGACATGTATGCTTTAATTCTTTATGAAACTTATCATATTGGATAGTAAACCTTTGATATTTTTTTTCCTAATCAACCTTTGAATATAGCCCATAAGTTTTCAATAGGGCTTAAATCAGGCAAGCTCCCAGGCTACCGAAGCATGTCCCTCTCCATCCCTTAGATAAATTCTTTAACCTTTTGTGACATGTTATGTGATGAAAAACTGTGTTGCCATCTATCAGTCTAAACATTTACTAAGCAGCTATTATGTCCCAGAATTATGCTAAGCCAAAAAAAAAAAAAAAAAAAAAGGTAAAAGACAGTCCCTGCTCTCAAGGAACTCAAATTCTAATGGGGGAGAAAACATGCGAACTATGTATGAACAAGCTATTCAAAGGACGAATTGGAAATAATAGAAGGTACTACCATTAAGGGACATTAGGAAAGGTTTCTTGAAGAAGCCAGGATTTTAGCTAAGACTTGAAAGAAGCCAGAGAAACCAAGAGATAGAGATGAGGAGAGAGAGAATTCCAGGCAGGGAATCAGCCTGCAAAAATGCCCTAAGTTGGGTAATGGATTGTCTTATGGGAGGAACAGCAAGGAGGCCAGTGTCACTGGATCATGGAATACTTGCGGGTAAGGTGTAAGAAGACTGGAGAGGTAAAAGACCAGGTTATGAAGGACTTTAAACATCAAACAGATGATTTTATATTTCATTCTGAAGGTGACAGGGAGATTACTTAAGGGGGATGGGTACAAGGTGGGTGATTCATATGGTCAAATCTGATCTTTAGTCAGATTAATTTGATAGATGACGGTGGACTGAAGTGGGAAGAGACACGAAGCAGAGAAGCCAACCAAAAAAGGCTACTGCAATAGTCCAGGTGTGATGAGGGAAATCTTGTAATTTTGAAACAATTTTTCTTCTCCAATTATCAACATATTTACCAGAATTCATTCTCTCCTTGGGTACAAGACTCCCAAGGCCCCCATTTTTGGGATGGACGTTTTAGAGTCTGATATAGCTATCAGATTTTATAGGTTTACTTAGATTGCTCCTGACAATGGTTCTGGCATAGTCTTGAACAAAAAAGTGAGTGTCATCAGTAAAAATCACCTTTTTCCAATCTTTAGTACTGCAGCCTTTGCATAATCTTGCCCATTAAAAACTTTTTTTTAAACCATAGCAAGAGTTAGCAGCTAGTTTTTTTTTTTAAACTGGTCTTCTCACTATTCTTCCAGTTTCAGGAATTCTGTCCTGCAAAAGAGAGGAATCAGAAGCAACCATCCCTGTTGC